ACCTGGGGATGTGTTGACCATGAGTGGTTCCGCTAGGTATAATTGGGCACATGGAATTGAAGCCACCACAATGGATATGATTGGTGACGAACGAATTATTCGTAGTTTGAGAGTTTCCGTCACTTTGAGAAAAATGAAAGATGAACAACAATCTTTAGAATTTTCAGACAGTGATTTGCACGTCAAAGTGCTTAACATGCGATCATAATTTAATCATTCAAAATAAAAAGCATACAATCTGATATGACCTTGTGGCCATTGACATGGAATAAATAGAATAGTATCACCAACTCTAGTCATTCATGATTTCGATGCATGCATAATTTCATAAAATTTTATTCTTACGCTCGTAATATTTAATTTCGTTGACGGAGGAAAAAACTGGTTCTAGAATGGCGTAAAAAATTTGTCATCCTACACGTGCAACAATTTCCTTTTACGATGCATGTATATATATGCAGTTTTTTTTTTTTTGCTAAGCTCTATCATCCATCTCTTTTTTCTTTGAATTAACTCTAAGGTAATGAGAAATTGAGATCTATTATGTACCGAGGAAGCTTGTTCTTAACGCAGAACACTTCAATGTTTTTATTACTCAATCAGTTCAATTGAATAAAGATATTTCGATGGAAGACGTGAAACCTAGTTCTGTCCATTTTAGCCTCGACCGTCCGTTCGGAATCTATGCCTATGACTATTTTACGCAAGTTTACACATATCTTACAGGAAAAGACCCCAATGAATTTCGATTTATCCAAGGTGTTACTCCACTTTCCACTCTACCTGAAGTTTTAATTGGATGTGTCACCTACCTTTCCTTGATATTTGGTGGGCAATTGCTCTTGGCTAATGCACCAGTCATCAAAGCAAAATTCCTTTTTCAAGTTCACAATCTTTTGTTGACCATATTCTCCGCTACATTGTTGGTGCTATTCGTCGAACAGTTACTTCCTATCTACTGGCGTAATGGAATTTTTTACGCTGTTTGTAGTAGAGATGCTTGGACTCAACGATTAGAATTTTTATATTATTTGAACTATCTTGTTAAGTGGTGGGAGCTAATTGACACTATTTTCTTGGTGCTGAAGAAGAAAAATTTAGGTTAATTAAAACTTTGGTTATTCCTTTCTTACGCGTTTATATCTTACTCACCGAGAACTTTCTATTTCAGAATTTTTACACGTTTATCATCATAGCATGACAATGGCATTGTGCTATTCCCAGTTGCGTGGACGAACTACTGTGGTATAGTAATGTTTGATTTATTGGACGTTTTTTACATTCGGTCTCTCCAAATAACAAAAAGTTGATCGATCTAATTTATTTAATCTAGTCTTGGGTTCCTATCACGCTAAATTTGGTCGTGCATGTTTTCATGTACTATTACTATTTCCGGACTGCGGGCGGTGCAAGAATCTGGTGGAAGAAATATCTGACGACTCTACAGATTGTTCAGTTTATGATTGATTTGGTGTTTGTGTACTTTTGTTCTTATACCTACTTCACCTCCACGTATTGGCCCTGGATACCAAACTTTGGATCATGCGCTGGTGAAGAAAGTGCCGCCATATTTGGTTGCTCCTTGTTGAGTAGTTATCTACTTTTGTTCATCGGATTTTATAAAAAGACCTATAACGTCAAGGGAGCTGTACCACCCAAGAACAAATCATCAACAAAGGCAGAATAATTTTATGGTTTTCGGTTCTTTCTTTTTCTTTCTTTCTTTCTTTTTTTCTTTTTTTTTTTTTTTCTCGCAGACAATAATATTATAGAATGTAAAAAATTTCGTTGGACACTGACACAAAATTTAATTGTGATACATTACAAGAAATAGCCATAGGAGATTCTTGTATTTTTATGTTATCGTTTTTTCTGTTTTCCATTACCTTCTTATTTATGCTTGTACTAATTAGTATAATGATTTGTTTATAATTTATTATGTCTTGGCACAACTTTTAATTATAGACAAAATTCAGGTTAGGTTTTAAATAATCATGTCAATTTTTCGTTATTATTTTATGACTTGATCTGGAAAAGTAGAATCTTTTTAACGGATTCGCTTTAAATAATTTATATTTCTACCTTTATGTCGTTAGTCTATTTCCTAATCTAATTGATCTGAAATAAATGCAGATCGTAACTTTTAAAAAGATATCTACGAAGAGTAAGCGCGAATTATTCTTTCTCGTCTCGGTGATATGCTAATACGTTGCTACATATGTAAAAGTATAAATTTGTCGCATATTGACAATGACATTGAATTAAAAATATTCTTGCATCAATAATTTTATATTGCTCAAAAAATAAAACGATACGGTTTTATTAATGTTAACAATAATTAAATTTTGAAATTAAGCAGTTAAACATACAGTATCTTATTTACAAAAAAAAAATCATACAAGAATAAATTAATTAAAAATTATATTGTATATATAACATACAGTAAATATTATAATACATCAGATATAATATAATAAAAATTATTATCTAATTTATATGATCTTGAATAAGACTGTGATGTTTGATATCATAAAATCATATTAAAAAAGCAATACACCTATACAGTACATATACAATATTAATTTTTATAGTAACACTAATAATAATGATTTTTTTTTTACCCTTTTTACTGATCCATTCAAAAAACAGATTTTCTCAAAAAATTTTATATCTTTAAGATAATAAATCTATATATTTTTCTTTAACAACACTGGTTTTTTAACCAGCAAAAATAAACAGCAACTATTACTTGTTTATCTTTTCTTTTTCAAAATACTTTTTTTGTTTATTTTTATAACCAAATACAAGAAACCTATTTAAAAAGTTCATGGCAAAAACATATTTTTAAGAAAAAAACTAACAAAAAAAAAACATTTTTCAAAGATTTTCAAAAGATTCAAGAATCTAGAAAAATAAAAAAAAAGAAATTTTTAATCTATTTATCATCTCTTTGGCTTTTTACTTCTTTTTCTCAAGCATATTTTTTTTTTTTTTTTGATTTTCTGGAAAATTTTATCTATTTTAATTTATTTTAAATTTTTAATTATATTAGATCTTCTAAAAAATAATTAATCAAAATTATAAATAATTTTTAGTTAGATAAAGTTGAAATTGTAAATAAAAAAGGAGAATAATCTCTTTTTTATTTTTTATTTTTTTTTTCTATTCTTTTTAAAAAAAAAAAATAAATACAAAATTTAAGTTTTATTTAAATTTGATAACAAGTTAAAATAATAATATTTATCTTAAAAATAATTAAAGAAAGAAATTTTAAAACTATTACTAGTTAAATAAAGCAATAATTTCAAAAAACATGACTTAAAAGAGAAATTAACAATAAAAAATCAATATTATTTCTAATTAAAAATCTTTAAATATAAAGTTTCAAGAAATATTTTTTTGAATGTACTCTTAAATATTCTTAGATATCATTAATTACTTTAATAAAAATTAAACAATTAAGCTATCACAAGTAATAAAAAATAAATGTAATAGCAATTATAAAAAACTTGAATTTTAATTTCATTAAAATAACCTTTTCAATAATAGTTAAAATAAATAATTGCTTTTTTTTTTTTTTTAATATTTTTTTTATATATACATTTGTATTATTTATTTTTTCTAAAATTTTTTTATTTCTTTTTTCTTATATAATTTCTATAAAGATAATTAATATAATTTAAATTTATGATTATAACTATAAAAATAATTTGCAAGTTTTAATTTATTAAAAGTTTTGAATTTTAATCTTATTTATTAAAAAAACAACATATTATTTTTATAAATTTTATTTAAAATTTTAGTTATTAATAAATAAGCTGGATTGAAAAGATTTATACTTTGCTTATACTGTATTTTCATACTTATAATAATTCTATAATTTAATAAATAAAATATATTAATCTAATTATAAATTAAAAAAAAAATTATAAGTTAAAATTAATAAATAATAAATATATTTTTTTAAACTTTGTTATAAATTCTTATTGTAAATAAATAAATACAATAATCAATTATTATCTTTTTATATAAAGTAATGATAGATCTTTACTAGTCATTATTAATAAAAAATAAAAACTCTAAAAAAATAAAATTTATCTCTTAATATATGTTTTTATTTAAATATTGTTTAATTATATTTTAATATAATTTTTAAAAAATGTAAAGGTATATAAAAAAATTCTTTAATGGAAACTTATTAGATTTTATTTCAGTAAAGCAAAAGTTTGTCTAAATAGGTTTTAATTTTTTTCAAAGCTTTTATACCTTAATTAGTAATTAATTAGGACTTTTGTACCTATAATTCTGATCAAAAACTATTATTTTTCTTGATAAAAAAATATGTTTTTAGAAGTTAAAACTGTTTATTAATTTATAAAATTTATATTATAATAATTTATTATAAAAAAATAATATTTTTCATTCTTCTAATAAAACAAATTGATATTTTATAACTATTTAATATTAATTCTTATTTAAAAGTCTTAAATATAATATTTATTATTCTTTATTTTTACAATATTTTAATTATTATTATTATTATTATTTTTTAAGTAGAAAAGTAATTAATACTATATATGTAATAAAATTAAATTTAACAATTTTTCAAAAACTGTATTATAGTTTTTTTTTTTTTTTCTGTAATCAAACAAATATTTATTATATTTATTTAATCTTTTTTTAAAGAAGATATAATTATACATATTTGACTTTTATGCATAAACTAATTACTTATACTTGAATACCTGTCTTAGGTGGTTAACCTTTAGATATGATCTTGGAGATAAATAAAGTTATTTTTTCTTATTCAAAAAACTGTATTATAGTAGAATTACTAAATAATATATAGTAATTAAATAAAATTTGTATTTAATTTGAAATCATATTATTAATTAAATTTTCTTTTATGATAATATAAATATATATATGATCAGTGTCATGGTTTTTATTTAAATTATATTTGAATTATATATTTGAATAGTCTTATACTGTATATACTAATATTATTATTAACTATAAGTTTAATTATAACAAATCTATTTATATAATCCAATTTATATAAACTTTTTATATCAGAGATGAACCTATATGTTGAATAGAATTATACAATAGACAAAAATCCTATCACTACTTTACAAAAACTTACTAATTCTAAAAATATGTTAACAATATTTTCAACAGATTATAATTAACTAATAAACAGCTTGG